ATGGAAACACAACATGTGTGTGTGTGTGTGTGTGTGTGTGTGAGACAGAGGCGGCCAGACAAAAAAAAAAAGGTTACATAGAGAAAATGAGAAGGACCTAAGCAGAGGCAGCATGTTGAGAGAACGATAGAAGAAACACAACAGGGAACTGATGGCTTGAAGGAAAGAAAAATGGCAAATGAAAGAGGAAGTATTGGGGTTTGGTTAAGCCAGTGGTGACAGTATCAACAAGAGGGTTGAATAAAGGTGCTAGGCTGCAGTTGGAAAGCTATGACATTAGATTCTTTCACTAAACTTTCGATATCTTTCACCCCAAATGCATCCCCCACTGCTGCTCCACCCCTCCCGAAGCCTTAGATTGAAAGTTGCCACAGTAGCACAACTGTCAGCACTTGTCATGGCAAGGGCCATAGGCCTATAGTGATGGGAAGTGACAGGGTTTTATTTGAAATCCCGTTTAAATCGGACACTGAGACTCACAAACCATGCACACTCACAGCAGACTGAGCATACTGAGCAGATGAGGGGGGGAGGGGGGGAATAAAAGAAAAGGAAAGATGACAAATGAGAAAGAATAACGGTGTGAGGAGAAGCAGGGGTTTGTAAAAAAAAAAAAAAAAAAAGAGGATCATACAGATGTCTGAATGGCTTCATGTGAAACTAACCAGAAAAAAAATGTTTTAACAATTACTTTTCACAAACATTCAAACACAAACACTCAATTATAGAAATGTTTTCCAATAAAATAAAAGTAATTGAAAGTAAGCATTCAGAACTAAATTATTATAAATCCCATGAAGCCCATTTCCGCCAAATACAGTATATAAAAGGATCATGATCTGGTAAATCACGATGACATAAAAAGTCAAAATTATGACATACTATCATGACATACTTTTTTTGTCATAATTGGCCTTGTATCTTACAATTGTGACTTTTTATGTTATAATTAGGATTTAGTATGTCATGATTTTGTCTTTTTTATGTCATAATTTTGACTTATTAATATTTATGTTACCATTTCAACTTGTTAATCCCATAAGTATGACTTGACGTTATAATTTCAGATTTTTATGTCATAATTATTTTATATCAAAGCATTTTTTTAAATTATGTGGCAGAAATTAGTTTTTTATACAAACTGCATGTAAAGCCAGACAAAAGACACACTGAAGATAAAGACAGGCTCATGTAGATGTCCGAGTAGCTTCTTTTAATTTTAAACAGGCGTTTCAATGTTGATACAGATGGTTCTGTAAGTTCCCTTAAAGAATGCTGCTGCTCACCAGTAGACAAGACACTTTAACCTTAGACATCCTCCTTAGTATAAACCCTCGTTTTATAATGTTGAATCTCTTCCATAAGTTAAATAGATATTATTAATGTGTTAAAGTGTGTGGTGGTTAAGCAGTTGATGAGCAGTTGTTTAAGACTCAATTTTGTGATCCTGATGCCCTCTGGTGGCACAATAATGCCATTGCATATTTCACCTACAAAATGGATGAGTTAGTTGATGCAGACTCATATTTAGAAATGTACAACTCTTTGTTAATGTAGAGGGAAGCAAAAGATTTTCATCAGAGCATACCATAGCATGATAAATGTCTTTAACATGAACTTTGACCTTCTCTTCCTCTCACAGCACATAAATAATGATCACATCCATGGAGAAAAGAAGGAGTTTGTGTGTCGCTGGGAGGAATGTTCAAGAGAGCAGAAACCTTTTAAGGCCCAGTACATGCTGGTAGTGCACATGCGCAGACATACAGGAGAGAAGCCTCATAAATGCACGGTGAGAATTATATTAAATACATTTAGTATTTTTATTTATTTTTTGTTTTCAGACACTCATTTCAGTATGTAGGACAACTTTTAATGTGGGCTTACCTGAGAAGCTAACTGCTTAAACAGCCTTGGTCTGTCTAGAACAAATCAATGTAACTGTGTGTCCTTTTCGCTCTCAGTTTGAAGGCTGTTCAAAGGCCTACTCCAGACTGGAGAACCTGAAGACACATTTGCGTTCACACACAGGAGAGAAACCCTATGTGTGTGAACATGAAGGCTGCAACAAAGCCTTTTCCAATGCGTCAGACCGAGCCAAACACCAGAATCGCACACATTCCAATGAGGTAATTCACACACATGAACATGTCAAGTATTAAACAAGGTATTTTGCTTCTAACACTCTCAGGTTTGGACAAGAAGTAATTATAGTCAACATGAAAACCAATTATTGCACATTATTGCAACAGGGGAAAAAAACTGTGCCTTTAGTAAAGTAACATTTTTTTCCAAAATGTGATGACTTGTTCCTACTCTAGAACATTGCATTTTGGCTGACGTCACCAAGCTGTTTTGATTTCAGCCCTTTCAACTTCAAATTACATCATATCCTGATTTTATTGTTGAATATTATTTTCACAAAAAATACATCAAATATTTGACATGGGTTGCAATTACCCATTATGTCGACTTTAAGTTGTTAAAAGAGTTAGCAGACATTTATTTATCTAACATTCCAGTGCTCCCTCTTTCTTTATTTCTCTCAGAAACCCTATGTGTGCAAAATCCCTGGTTGCACTAAACGATACACTGATCCCAGCTCTTTACGGAAACATGTTAAGACTGTACATGGTCCTGAAGCACATGTCACCAAGAAACAGCGTGGGGATACATACCCGCATCCCCCACCTCAGTCCCGAGAACCTGAAGGTAATGGACAAGGTCAGTCACCTGGACAACTGCCTCTCAGAGCGATCACTGACCAAAGGGAGTATAACCATGCTACCTCGAAACAGGACGAATGTCTACAAGTCAAGTCAATCAAAACAGAGAAGCCCATGGTAAGCGTCCTTCCATGTTAAAAACAAATTAAAACAAAAAAATGGTGGTGTGCTATGCTAAAGTTTCAACTCCATAAATAACTAAATAAAATAACCTTTTATGTCTTTTGTCTTACTAATGTTTACCCTTCCTTACTTGGTTTCATACACTGAACAAAATTATAAACGCAACACTTTTGTTTTTGAAAAAGTCTTAGATCTTCGAGTTCAGCTCATGAAAAATGGGGGTAAAAACAAAAGTGTTGCGTTTATAATTTTGTTCAGTATAACTGCTCAGCTAATACTTGCTTATAGCCAGCTACCTCTTGCCATGCATGTTCAAATTAATAACTGAATCTTTTTTGTCCATTACCACATGCATTACTTTTCCTCTCTTACTAAGGACAGTGGGTGATCAGGTGAGAACGGTGATATCATTATAGGTCTGATCTTTTCCTTTTTCACCGCTCATTCTGTCCTTTCAATTCTGGGCCATCTGGAACAATTATTCAGTCAGTGGTCAACAGCATCATGTCATCTCTTACATTATTATTTGTAATGTTGTTTTATTTGTAGCATGGTGCATATTTTGTTGTCACAATATTGTTGCCTATGGTCACATGAGTATTACATCAGCTTGCATGATAAAGCTACCTCTAGTTACTGTATGTGTATTTGACTCTGCAACTTGGTTTTAAATCAGTGAGCTGTGCCTGCACTTGTGGTTTCATTGTGTTCCGGTTCATTCTTTAGGTAAATGTTGAGAAAATGGCTCACTGTAATCACAAAGAAAAATACAAGCTTTCTTGCATGACTACTAAAAAGACAGCTCATTCTTTAGCAGCCATTATCCATTTGCAACACAGACAACAACCTAATTAGGACCCAACAACTCTAAAGGGTGACCATTGTCCATGTGGCCTGTTTTCTTAAAATGGGGCAAACAAGCTTACCTCTACTTCCACTGTTGGTTATTTACTTCTGGTAAAACTGGTTTCTCACACTTCTGTGATTCACTTTAGCTTACATTCTGTGCAAAAGCGGAGATGAACGTTATTCAAAGAGCATTTTTATGTAGACAGCAAAATACATTTGGCATAAAAATGTGTTAAAAGTGTTATTGCTGACATTAACTACATATACTCTTACAGAGATCCACTGTCCTGCAGAGTTTAGCTACAATCCTAATCAAACACCTGAACCAGATAATCAAGGTCTTCAAGATAGTTTGAAAATTACTGGTAGGACAGTGAGATTGCATTTTCATCGTGATACCACGTGATAATTGTAGCAAAATGCAGTGTGAATTTCAAAATGCATTCTGAGTGTGCAGCAAAAGGGTAGCAAAATGGTGATTTAAATGTCTTTTATTTTTCTTAAATGCATTGACACTTACATTTAAAGGGATAGTTCACCCAAAAATGAAAATTAGCCCATTATTTACTCACCCTCAAGCCATCCTAGCCATATGACTTCCTTCTTTTTAGATGAATCCAATCGGAGTTATATTAAAAATTTACTTTGTGTCACAGGTACTGTGCTCTATGGAGATAAGCGCACAACGCAGGAGTAATCCAGCACACAATCTTTAATTCCAACTTCAAATCAAGAGAATAATCAGGAGACAGATAAATCAGAAACATCTAAGAGCAAACTAAACATGACGGTGAACGGACGAAGACTAAGGGAGAACTGAGGACTTATAAGCAAAACCCAAACAAAGGGAACTAATGAGATGATTAATATAGCACAGGTGGAAACTAATGATTAATGATTAACTAAATGAGAACAGGAACTGAACCAAATAAGGGCAGACAGGAACTAAACAGAAACACACACATGACAGATATCGCCCCCCTCCCGGAAGGCGCGTCCCGCGCCGTAACAGTACCATCGGGGAGGGGGGCGGGCGCCCTGGAGGCTGGTACAGGACTGGAACAGGGCTGAGACAAGGAGAGCCTCCAGAGCGGATCAGGGAGGTCTGGGAGCCATGGCGGAGCAGGCAGTTCAGGTTGCCATGGCGGAGCTGGTAGCTCAGGGGACCCAGGAGGCCATGGCTGTTCAGGGGACACAGGAGGCCATGGCGGATCAGGGGACACAGGAGGCCATGGATCAGGGTACACAGGAGGCCATGGCAGATCAGGGGACATAGGAGGCCATGGCAGATCAGGGGACATAGGAGGCCATGGCGGAACAGGGGACTCAGGAGGCCATGGCGGAACCTCCATGGCCTTAGCTGGCTCGGCCACGGGTATATGGCCCCCCCCCCCAAAAAAAATTTCTTGGGGAAAACTAGGAATCCTGGGGGGCGCTCTGGAGGAGTGGGCACTGGAGGGCGCTCTGGAGGAGCGAAGCTGACTAGCACAGGGGGCTCAGGAGACGAAGGAGTGCTGGACGGGACCAGCGGAGGCGAAGGAGACTCAGGAGATGATGGAGAGCTGGACGGGGCCAGCGGAAACGAAGGAGACTCAGGAGAGCTTTCTAGAGCGGATTCTGGGGTGAGGATTGGAGCTGAAAACTCGGGGGTTAGCGCCATGTCCATGAGCGCGGAGAGGCACGCTGGAGCGGACTCTAGAGCTGGAGCTTTGGAAGACTGCTTCCTCCTCTTCAGCCTCTTCCTCTGGGCTGAGGTTTGAAAGAGTGAAGCGGCCGGCAAGCTTGAGAGGGCAGCGGCTGGTGGGCTTGAGTTAGCGGAGGCCGGCGTGCTTTCGTCAGCGGCGGCTGGCAGGCTTGAGAATGCCGCGGCCGGCGAACTTGAGTGAGCGGTGGCCGGAGAGCTTGAGAATGCCGCGGCCGGCCGATTTGACTGAGGAGCGGCCGGAGAGCTTGAATGAGGAGCGGCCGGCGGGCTTGACGAAGGAGCGGACGGCGAGCTTGCGGCAACCACATGTGACAATCACGGGCTGGACTCCGCTTTGTCCACGGTGAGAGCTGATCCGGCGATCCACAGTGCGAAGTTGATGTAGCTCTTCAGTGACCAGCACGGATCAGCTATAGTCATTATGAAGCGGATGTCGTCCTCCGGCCCGCACCAGAATCCCTCCATTAAGGTGAGGTCATCACATGTGGCGTGATGGCAATAGTCCACAAACTCCCGCACATAATCCTCCAAGTCTCGGCCGTTCTGGAAAATGAATATTGTGGCCCCTGAAGGGCTATGAACACCGCCCTTCGGGGCCACATTAATAGACACCAGCTCCAGCCTCATCCTTTGTGTTGTTGGTCCGTTCATCTGTCACAGGTACTGTGCTCTATGGAGATAAGTGCACGACGCAGGAGTAATCCAGCACACAATCTTTAATTCCAACTTCAAATCAAGAGAATAACCAGGAGACAGATAAATCAGAAACATCTAAGAGCAAACTAAACATGACGGTGAACGGATGAAGACTAAGGGAGAACTGAGGACTTATAAGCAAAACCCAAACAAAAGGAGCTGATGAGTTAATTAATCAAACACAGGATGAACAAAATGACAATCAGGAGACTAAGTAAAACTAGGTTACAGGGGAACAGATTAACTGAAAACACAAAGAAAACCAGTACAAAAACTAAACATAGCCCTAACATTTTGATCTTCCAAGCTGTTTAATGGCAGTCAGCGGGTGTTGCAGTTCATCAGTCCAAAAGAAGTGAAATAAAGCTCATCCATCCACAATAAAAAGTGCCTCACACGGCTCTGGGGTGTGAACAAAGGCCTCCTGTAGTGAATCGATGCGTTTTTGTAAGAAAAATATCCATATTTCAAACATAATACTCACTTTAATCTAGCTTGCACCAACAGTTGTACACGGAAGCAGCTCCGGTGGGATGACGTAAGATGTCTGAGATGTAACCCGCAACGCTTAGGTGCTCGGGGACACGCGATCCATTATACGAGAAGAATAAAGTATGGTAGAAAATAGTTAAAATTGTAGAATTGCAGTGTCTGTTTGCTTATGTGTATCAATCGGAGTGTAAACTGAGAGATGTTGAGGCAGGTGAAAAGCGTTTGGTTAATGGGGAATATTGACCTATTGTGCGTCTTGTTCCTGACAACACATGGTTAATCCTAACATGGTTCCTGACACAACACATACCCCTCCACATGTCACTTTTCTACATAACCTATGATCACTCTCACCCTCCCGGCTATCTGCTATGGTTTCATCTTCGCTTCTTTCCCCTGAACAGTTATCATCTCTTGATGTTAACAGTGCTACTGATACTTTCTGCTGCACTCTTACGTCTTGTTTAGACAGTATCTGCCCCTTGTCTTCCAGGCCAGCTCGTACCACCTCTTCTGCCCTTTGGCTATCTGATGTTCTCTGTGAGCATCGTTCTAAGCTCAGAGCTGCAGAAAGAGTATGGCGCAAATCACAAAATCCTACTGACCTTAATGTA